CTTGTAGAGACCTTATCTCCAAATAAAGTCACACTTACAGGTTCTGGAAGGACATGGGGAGGCATTATTTAACCTAGTACACTGCTTTTGTGCCTCCCCTCTGCCTCATTGTTCAGAGCCTCTTTGGACCATCTGTCACATATTCCCTCACACCTTTCAGGGCCTGGAGCCCCACTGAACTTCATCTGGCTGTTCCTGTTTGTGTTTTGAGTGGTTGCCACAAGTTCAACCGTGGTTTATCTAGGCCACATACCTGGTGAATTGTCAAGGAGGAAAGGAAGAAGCTGAACAACTCAGTAGTCAAACAGCAACAACAACAATAACAACAACAAAAACGAATACCTTTATTAAAAAACGGGCTGGGGCACCTGGGTGGCTCAGTCAGTTGAGCGTCTGACTTTGGCTCAGGTCATGATCTCACGGCTTGTGAGTTCGAGCCCCGCATCGGGCTCTGTGCTGACAGCTCAGAGTTTGGAGCCTGCTTCACATTCAGTGTCCCTCTTTTGCTCTGCCTCTCCCTCTCTCTTGCTCTGTCTGTCTCTCTCTCAAGAACAAATAAAACATTAACAAAAAAATTAAAAAACAAAACAAAACAGGCTAAGCACTTGAATAGACATTTCTCCAAAGGAGATACAGATAGCCAACAGGTGTATGAAAAAATCTGTGTTACTCATCATCAAGGAAATGCAAATCAGACTCCCAGTGAGATACCACCTCACACCAGTCAGGATGGCTATCCTCAAAACAAAACAAAACAAAAAACCACCCATTGGCAACCAGCATCACTGAGGATGTGGAGAAATTGGGACATAATGTGCACTGTTGGTGGGAGTGCAGTTGGGAATAGCCACGGTGGAAACCAGTATGGGGTTCCTCAAAAAACTAAAAATAGAACTGCGTATGATCCATCAATCTCACTTCTGGATATTTATCCCAAATAATTGAAAGCAGGATCCTGAAGAGATAGTAGCGCCTTCATCTTCAGTGCAGTACTGTTCCCGACGGCCAGGAGGTGGAAAGAGTCTAAAGGTCCACGGACAGATGAATACATAAAGGCACTGTGAAGTCTATTTTTTTTTTTTAATGTTTTATTTATTTCTAGGAGAGAGAGAGAGACAGCGTGAGCAGGGGAGGGTCAGAGAGAGAGGGAGTCACAGACTGAAACAGGCTCCAGGCTCTGAGCTGGCAGTCAGGACAGAGCCCGACGCGGGGCTCGAACCCACGAACCGCGAGATCATGACCTGAGCGAAAGTCGGACGCTTAACCGACTAAGCCACCCAGGTGCCCCTTGTGAAGTCTATTTTAAGAAGACCTTGAAATAGAAGGAAATTCTGAAAATGCGACACCATGGAGGAACCTCCAGGACATGATGCTAAGCGAATTCAGTCAATCACAGAAAGACACATACTGTATGATTTCATTCCTATGAGGTCACTAAAATGGTCAACATCATAGAATCCAAGCATGAGTAGCCGTTACCAGGGCCCAGGGTGGGGGGTGGGGTGGGATGAGAAGGTGCTGTTCAACGGGAATAAAGTTTCAGGTGAGTGAGATGAATGAGCCCTGGAACTCTGCCGTACAAGGCCGTGCCTGTCGTCTACAGTACCGTATTGTCCCCTTGGAATGTGTCGGGCTAGATCGCGTGCTCAGGGTTCTGCCCACAGGAAAGGAAAAGAAAAGAGGAAAAAAAAAGGAAGAAACGAAGAGCAAGCTGAGAATCCTCCCATGTTGTTTTTATTGCTCCTTTGGCAATTTTCACTTACCCGACCCAGCATCATAATTTAGGCCAGTTTAGGAAAATGTGGGGATCTGCGAAAGCCGGCATCCTCTGACCCTCGGCACAGCTGTGTGCACATGGACTGAAGGGCGGGTGCGTGCATACGAATCTGAGCACCCTCACCTGCAGCTCTGTGACCTGGGGCCACCATGCTACCTTGTTTGGGTCTTCAGGTTGGACTCTGGGCGTGGCGGCAGGAGCACTGTATCTGGAGCCAGATGGCCTGGGTTCAATCCAGGGCCACTTATTTCCTCTCTCTCTGCCGCCATTTCCACATCTTGCAAAAGGGTGAAATATCCCACTGCATAGGCTTCTCGTGAGAAATAGATGAGTTACTATTATACGTGCAGCAGTTTGAATAGTGCCCGACAATGTAGACATCAGTCGTTACTATTACATGAATTTTATGTCCAGATGATAAGAATTCCAGTATTTTACTGCTTCCTCCTTCAATTCCCAATCATTGCCTTTCCCCACCAGAGCTAAAACAGGTGACAGTATGTGGATGTGACTTTTGGTTTTGTTATTTAATTCTTGTCAGTTATATTTTAACCGGTTCTGGGGAACAGTTCCTTTGTCAGGATGTCTTAAAGGATCAGGAACCAGGTCCGTGTGGAGTGAGTGCTTCCTGGGAAGGGCTTAGGGGCTGACATCATAAAAGTTAGCCCCAGGCTGTTATTAAAGTTGTCGATGCCTGTCTGAGTGTGGCTTTGTCAGTAACTTTAGCTCTGTGGGTAGGTGCAGCGCCCACACCATGCCCTCCCACCTTTAGATTTTGAATAACGGAGCCCATGGTGTTTCTGCTACTCGGGAGTGGATCTGTTTCCAGCACTAAGGAAAAATGAGAACTGAATAGGGATGGGGCTTTTGGTGTAGTTAAGAGAGAGGTAAAATAACTGTAATTTCATAGCAATTACTTACAACCAACACCGTCAAATGCGCCAGTTTTCCGTGATAAACCTGAGGCTCTGCTGGGAACAGTTTGCAAGGTAGAAATAAGCACACAATTAGGCTCTCAAGTATGAAAGACGGTGTCCCCCCACCCTCCTGCCCCACCCACATGCCACATGGGAATAAACCTCAAAGGGGAAAATTTCGGTGTTGCATTTGGGGAGTGCATGTTTTTCTCCCTTTCTTAGAAAAAAGCCTTAATAAGCCCCCTTTCCCGGATCTTGTTTGAATTGTTTGCAGCTCTGCCAGCCCCCCGTGGGGGCGGGGCCTCTACTCCCCTGGCCCTCCATGTCATTGGAGGGAGGCAAGCCACCTCTGCCATGGTTTCCAAGGGAACCACCAGCAAACTAGAGCCAGTGGGTGATTTCCCCTCTAAGCACCATGTCGGGCTCCTGAGCCAGTCAAGTGGAAGCGAATCATACAGAGATCAGTTCCCCTACCTTTTTGTTTGTTCATGTATTTGCTGAAAATGAATTCCTTATAAAAATTTATCCTCCAGCCCACTCAGAAGTAAAGCTAGACTTGCCTTTCAGTTGAGTAAAAAACAAAAACAAAAAAGCCATGCTCTTTTGAGGAGGGACTGGCAAAGGGAGATCCAATGAGCAGAATTAAAGCACTGAATTAAAGTAACGCTGTTACTGTCATACAGTAGAACCTTGGTTTGCGAGCATAATTCGTTCTGGAAACACGCTTGTAATCCAAAGCATTTGTATATCAAGGCGAATTTCCCCATAAGAAATCATGGAAACTCAGATGATTCGTTCTACAACCCAAAAATATTCATATAAAAATGATTACAATAACGTAATATAATACAACATAATAAGGGTAATACAAAATATAATGACAAATAAGCAAATTAACCTGCACTTACCTTTGAAAACCTCTTGGCCGGTGTGAGGGAGACAAGAGAGAGGAGGGTTATGGCGTAAGATGACTGTCAGTATCACTAACAGAATCACGGCTATCTCTTGGCTCAATGGAATCTTTTTCTGCATGGGGGCCATTGTATATGCGCTACACGATGCTGACTACAATGCAGTATTAATAAACTCTCATCATCTACTATATTTAATGTAACTGGCAATAAGGCAGCAGAGGAAAGAGTCCGTATCTGCAGCAGCCTGACCTAGAATGAAGCAAAGCATTCCTAAGCTTCCTCTTGTGTGGAAGAGCAAAGGACTGTCCATAGGTGCTTTGAAATGACAAAAAATACAATAGTGCCAGTTGTGGGCACCTTCCAGGGTTCTGACAAATCACTGATTTCAGCCAAACACTGTGGCCTGAGACTGAGCATCAGAGCATGGGAAACGATCACCCACAATCCTGCAAAGAGAGAGAAAGAAAGAGAGAGAAGAACCATTGGCTCAGTTGTGATCATGTGATGTTTAGCATCACGTACTACTCGTATTGCAGTGATTAATACGTGATTACAGTATTAATACATGATTAAGACCTCATTAAAATTTATTAGAAATGTTTGCTCGTCTTGCAGAACACTCACAGAACAAGTTACTCGCCATCCAAGGTTTTACCGTATATGTGTTCCTGCCTTATCCACTAGCCAACGCCAGAGAAGACCATGAGCTCCTTGACTAAATGCATTTTTTAATCTCCTGTGTGAGTTTCTCCAGTGCCTTGCACATAATTGAGAGCCAGTATAAAGAATAGTTTAACAAATGAATGGCTTATTGACACTGAAGGTAAAGTACTAGTACTAAAATCTTGAGTCTGCTGTCTGGTATAAAGAGATGGGTTGAAATCTGAGGTATTTGTACTGATGACATATCATGGAGCAAGGACCAAAGGGTAGAACAGAGCAAACCAGGGAGAAACATAGTTTGGTTAGGTATAGCCAAAGAAAAGCGTTTCTAATTGCTGGAAGTACCCTCAGATTATTGGTGGGCAGACATATTCAAGCATAAACTAGATGATTACTTGGGGGTACAGAAGTTGGTGGTCCAACGTCATTTATATTAGACTATGTGATGTTGAAGTTCTCTTTACCCTGAAATGGTTCTATAGTTACAGAAATCAATGAGTATACACTTGCCATACTGGGAACTCAAATTCAGTTCAGCCCCTATTTATGGAGTCCTTACCATGTGGCAGGCATTGCCCTGCATCAATATTAAAAAAGACAACAGTAAGATAGGGCACCTGCTCTTTGAAGTAGGCTGGCTCATGGCTTTCGTAAGTTCTCAGACAGGTGTGTGTTTCTTCTTGCTAACCAGCATGCGCTGATTCAGGACTCTGGTTCTTTTCTTCCTAGGCTGGAATTGACGGGGAAAGCATTGGCAACTGTCCCTTCTCTCAGCGCCTCTTTATGATTCTCTGGCTGAAAGGAGTTGTGTTCAATGTCACCACCGTGGATCTGAAAAGGTAAAGAACGCTGTATTAATGAAAGATGTGTTTGGGTGCAGGACCAGAGATCTTTCTGGGAGGGAGGGCCAAAGCTTGCCTGGGGCTCCCAGAGGCTTTCTGCTCACACTTCATTGGCCAGACTCTCTCAGGACCCTTCCCCAATTACAGGAGAGGCACCTGGGACTGAACGTTTCCCTGCCCAGAGTAACGAGACTTGGTTAGCAAGAAGGAGGGGATGGATATTGGATGTGCACTTGTGAGCGGCACAGAGATGGACACGCAGATCTAGAAACCCAGGAGTCTAGCATTCCAGCAGTACTAGTGGCTGGCCCTGGGGCCCCCTAGCAGGACTTCAGGCGTAAGAGGCTGAATTTCCAGGGGGTGTTGGGATCTGGCCATTTCCTCTGCTTTGCCCCCATGTTTAGAATTCCCTACTGTGAGCATTCTGGATTATCGGGTGGGATGAAGAGTCACTCGTGCAGTTTTAATGGTTGTTAAAAATACTAGGCCTCATGCACTATCAGGAGCCACACTCATTTCAGTCTTCTGTCCTGTTTCCTGTCTTCCGCCTGTGCTATCAGTGAGCTCAAGGCTCACTCTTCGAGCGGTTATCATCCACTCTACCTTCTTCCCCAGCCAGTGTAGCATATTCTCCATGTTGCCTTTATGTAAATGATTCTATACCCAGAACCCTACCATCTGGAAATACCTGGAGATATTTCCATTTGCATTTTCTGTTATCATTTTACAATTGAGGGGTGCCTGGGTGGCTCAGTCGGTTGAGCATCCAACTTCGGCTTAAGTTAGGATCTCGTGGTTTGTGAGATCGAGCCCCATGTCAGGCTGTGTGCTGACAGCGTGGAGCCTGCTTCATTCTCTCTCTCTCTCTCTCTCTCTCTCTCTCTCTCACAGCCCTTCCCCTGCTCAAGCACTCTCTCTCAAAAATAAAGAAACATTAAATAATAAAGTAAAATCTATATATCAAAAATTGTTACCTATCATTTCTTCTTTGAGTTGGACTCCCCTCCCGAATTCCTGTGCTCTTCCATTCTGTAAGCACCGGACAGTTTCCAGCCCCCTTCTCTTACCACCTCCATTGTCAATCAGTTGCCAAAGGCAGGACATAGCCCTCCTGTGCTGTCTCTCACCGTGGGGCCCTCGCATCCATTCTCAAAACCCACATCTGGTTCAGGTCCCACCGCTACCAGCCCGACTGTTTCTTTGCTCTTCCAGCTGGACTTCCCCCTTCTGGGTTCTCCCTCTTTCTGATCCATCCTTTATATTATCTAAAGATTATTCTTCATCAAAAAGTTTTTTAATCATGCGGCTCCCCCACTCAGAAAACCTTTGGATCTTTCCCGTCACCTGGGGAATAAATGCAGCTGCGGCTCTCTGTCTCATCTTCGCCCTTCCCCAACATTGTTTGCTGATGCTTCTCCTGGTGACCTCTCCATCTCTGGCAGATTGGACTGCCTTTCACCCCATTCCCTCTGGCCTCCAGGCCCCTGGCTAGGATGCTTCCTCGGCCTCCTGGAGGCTCTCCTGCCTTCCTGAATGGACAGACTGGTGCTCAGCCCCCAGGGGCGGCTTCGGCCCCCTCCCCTGGATTATCATCTGCAAAAGTGCACTTGCAAGTTTGGCTGAGGATCAGGATGGGAAAGGAAGCCACCTCAAGCATTCCTCAGATGCTTATGTTGCTGTCTCATATCTCTTATCTGGCCCTGCCAACGCCCGTTGATATTGCCTAGGCCAGGCAATATCAAAACTCCAGTCCAAAAGATACGGAAACTTTCTTACTGAAGAAAAAAAAAAAAAAAGGAAAGAAACAAAAACAAAGGAAGAAAATACATATATGGCAAAGAGTTAAGGACTTTTTAAATATATGATACGGTGAATATTAATTTCTTACCCTGGCACCACCATTTATTGGCTGAGTGACCTTGACCAAGGCCCTTCATTTTTCTGAGCTTCAGTTTCCTCCTCTGTACGATAGGGATAAAAAGCCTCTCTTGTAGAACCCTAGACCCTGTAACTGTGAGGATGTCGTGAGGGCCATGGAACGTGCTTACATCCAGTATTGTGCCTGGCTCACATCAGGAACAACACCCAATGGACTATTTTTAGCATTGTCCCTTCCCTCATGGAGCTGATGATGCCGTCAGAAAAAGAGGGCTGATACCTATTAAATAGTCCATAAATTAGACTCGATGACATGGAATTAAATGCTGATGTATAGTGTCATCCATAAGTGCTGAAGAGGGTCAACAAAGACAGAGGACCGTAACTGACCAGCATGTCATTGGCAAAGGCCACCTGAATGGTGACAGCCATAGGCAGAACTCCTCAGGGATGCCAGACTCCAGAGGTCATTGTTCTCTCGAGTCACAGGAAAAAATTAATTTTTGTATCTTTAAAAAAATTTTTTTTAATGTATATCTATTTTTGAGAGAGAGGGAGAGGCAGAGCATGAGCAGGGGAGGGGCAGAGAGAGAGGGAGACCCAGAATCCGAAGCAGGCTGCAGGCTTCAGGCTCTGTGCTGTCAGCATAGAGCCCGATGCGGGGCTCGAACCCACGGACCGTGAGATCACAACCTGAGCTGAAGTCAGTTGCTTAACGGACTGAGCCCCCCAGCCGCCCCCATTTCTGCATCTTTAAGCCACAGAGGGGTAATGGCTGTAAAATAAAATCTGTATAGATTTCCCCTCCCTGCTGAGGAACCCAAGCATTTCTGCCCGTGTCAGCTCTGAAGAACAGGAGGGGAAGGTGAAGAATGACCTCTCATTGTCCAGATGAGGGACTCGCACCAAGTAAACAAAGGGACCGAGGAGATGAGATTTTAAAAATACTTTCGGTCCCAGCTGCCTGGGGAGTTCCTAGTGTCACACAATGCAGCTGGAGAGGATGTGTGTTCGGGGCACGATATGGGAGTAGCACCCTAATTGAAATTCTTCCCGTCCCCTCCCAGACGGATTATGCCAGCCAGGAATTTGTTTCATTACAGACTCCTCTTCGCCCTTGTTTACTTCTCTTCTTATGGTTTCCACTCCCGACTCCCCCAAGTGCTGCGTGCTCTGCGGGAGCATTTGGCATGACTCAGACGTTCCAGCCCTGTGCGGGGCAGTGGCCTTCGTCATTCCTCCTCTTCCTTACTGTTTCCTTTGGCACTGCCCCGCCCCATGCCGCCCCACACTCCCATCGACCAACCCTCCTTCCCTCACTTGCATTTCCACCAGCTGATGGAAGCATGGAAGGTGCCCTTGGCATGATCAGGGCCCCTCTGTGAACGCAAGGCCGCTTTCTCTTCTGTTGTCTCTACCCTTAACAGTGCAGAAGGCCTTTCTTAGTATAAAAGTGTGATTGAATTCACTAACTTAAAAATGCTTTAAGTTTGGAACTCTGTAGCGTGCATCTTTGTTAAGCTGAGTGGTGAAGGAACTTTTGAAAGCAAAGCCCAGCCTCTGCCTGGGGTGTTAAAATCTTGACACTCATTTAGAGAACCACCTGCCATTACTTTCTGCTTTCTCGGTAGGACCCGGTTCCCTCACCTTGGCTTAACTCTTATGACTTCCACCGGACAGACTTCGTGTGTCACACTACATCCCTTCAGAACTTTCTCCCCCGTCCCCTGCCCTACATCCCCACCATAAGTCTGTTCTGCCTATGGAAATGCGGGACAGCCCAGGCAGTCTAATGCATAAGTTGTAGGTTGCCGTGAAGGCAAAGTGCCCCTGTGTAAGCCACCTCCTGAATCTCAATCTCTCTGCAGAAAGCCAGCCGACCTGCACAACCTCGCCCCTGGCACCCATCCGCCCTTCCTGACTTTCAACGGGGATGTGAAGACTGACGTCAATAAGATCGAGGAATTCCTGGAGGAGACCCTGACTCCTGAAAAGTAATGAGTTGCTTATTTCTGAAGCTAATGACAGGCCGGGGTGGGTGCGTGTTGGAACCAGAGAAAGCACAGCGTTAGCTTTGAGGAGACAGATTTGCAAAGGAGCCTCTTCAATCCAGACGGTGGGACCCTCTTTTCAACCCCAGAGGGCTCCCAGTCTCAAAGCCACTCCACAAAGTCCACCTCCAAGGGCAGGTACCTCTGTGAACAGGATATGTCTCCCAAAGAGAGCGCCGGGAAGGATGCCCCCCTCCATCCCCTTCATCAAGTCCTCTCCAGTTCACTTTGCCTGAAAGACCCTTAACCGAGGGCAAAGCCTCCCCCATTTTATTTATTTATTTATTTATTTATTTTAAATATTTTTATTTATTTCTAGGAGAGAAAGAGAGAGAGAGACAGCATGAGCAGGGGAGGGCCAGAGAGAGAGGGAGATACAGACTCTGAAATAGGCTCCAGGCTCCGAGCTGGCAGTCAGCACAGGGCCTGACGCGGGGCTCGAACCCACGAACCACAAGATCATGACCTAAGCGAAAGTCGGACGCTTAACCGACTAAGCCACCCAGGCGCCCCGGCTCCCCCATTTTAGAATGAAGGCTGGAAGGCTGACAAAATGAGAATAAGTAACCCCATGACTTAAATCCACACCCCAGTATGAACAGGAGTCACAAACCGGACAAGGTCTGGTTGGAGGCCCTAATCAAGGATTAAAAGATTGACTCTTCTTCTTCTTTAATCTTTTTTTGTGGGGGACGGGGGGAGGAAGGGGCAGAGAGAGAGAGAGGGGGAGAGAGAATCCCAAGTGAGCTCTATAGCTCTATGCTGTCAGCACACAGCCCGACGTGGCCTGGAACTCACAAACCACGAGATCATGACCTGAGCCAAAGTCAAGGGTCAGACGCTTAACCTACTAACCCACTGGCTCCCCTAGACTGAGCCCCCTGCTGAAGTGAGACTGGGGGATATGGTGGGAGGGGCGGGGAGACCAGAGGGCTGACTGTAGGCGTGGGTAGATAAGCTGCTCCTAACGGAAAATAGGAATAAAAGGAAGGAAAGGTGAATTCTGAAAATTACTGGAAACCAGACTTGTTTATTGTAATCGGGGATTAAAACAATCACATAATTTTGTTTTTAACTAGAATAAGGTATCTATAGGCAAGGCACACACAGTCTCCCTCCTGTAGGGCAGCCACTGAAAAAGTTGAAGCAAAAGTGTCTAAGTCTGTTTTCAGGCTTACTCGAGGGTGGGAAGATGAGGGCAGAGAAAGGAAAAGCTGGAGGTGGAGAAATCAATTAGGAGGAGCCACATGGTGTCAGTCCCTGGAAGACAGACCAGGGTGCTGAGCTAAGGCAGAGATAGCACACGGGTGCAGAGAGGTAAGAAGGACCTCACTATTTACTTTGCACATAAAGTAACTGGGATTTGACCACTGGAAACCGCCATTTTGCATTTATTTTGAAGTTGTATTTATTTATTTATTTATTAAATATTTTTATTTATTTTTAGGAGAGAGACAGCGTGAGCAGGGGAGGGTCAGAGAGAGAGGAAGATACAGACTCTGAAACAGGCTCCAGGCTCTGAGCTGGCAGTCAGCACAGAGCCTGATGCAGGGCTCGAACTCAGGAACCGTGAGATCATGACCTAAGCGAAAGTTGGACGCTTAACCGACTAAGCCACCCAGGCGCCCCGAAGTTGTATTTATTTATCAATACTTATATAGCCTTCCCTGCGTGCCCTGGGAGATAGATGCTATCATTTGCCTCATTTTTTAAAAATTTATCTATTTTGAGAGAGAGAGAGTTTTTGCACAGGCGAGCAAGTGGGGGAGGGGCAGAGAGAGAGAGAGGGAGAGAGAGAATCCCAAGAAGGCTCCATCTCAGGACTGTGAGATCATGACCTGAGCTGAAATCAAGAGTCAGATGCTTAACTGACTGAGGCCCCCAGGCGTCCCACCAGTGGCCTCATTTTATATCTGGGGAAACTGAGGCCTAAAGCAGTTGACTAACTTGCCCAGGGTCACCCATCTAACAAGCCACTGTTAAATTGAAACACCAAGTCATGCTCTGAATAAGCCTTAACATTTAGACATTCTTGCTAAAGAGTATTTGTCGTTCACATTAGGACAGTTTATCTTCACACCAAGAGTGGAAAGCTGCCTCAGGCCCCTGGGAAGCAACTGGGTGTAGACTTTGAATGAGCGCATTAATTAAATCAGCCATACCCCATCTCAGGACACCAGCCTGCTACTTCGCCCCGCTGAAAGGGTCCCGAGAGCCCTCAGGGGCCATCACCCTCCCTTGGGACTCCATCTCCTTGCTGGGGCTGGTGTGAAATCCCACATGGGAAAATACCTGCTGTTTGCAATAACTAAACAGAGTTTAGACTTCGCATGGGAGGCTCAGAAGGGAATGTCCAGGGTGAAGCTATTTTCCTTGAGAAGACCCACACTCACGAGTGACCACCTTCGTCCCAGCCAGTGGGGAACTTGAAATGGAGGCAGCGGGCAGCAGTGGGGCCCACCTGGTCCTCTGCCAGGCCCGTGGGTGGAGGTGTGCAGGGCTGGGCGGGGCCCGGGGGGCTGCGGCTTGCCCTCCTGGTTCAGTCGTGGGCTGTGACCCCTCGAATGTTCCTTCTCGGTGTGAAAGGATGACTTGAGGGCTGCTCCCGCCTTTGGTGCTCACTTTAGCCAGGTGAGCTACCAACCCTCCACCTCCACCAGCTGTGCCTTTTTCCAGGCCGTTTCCCTTACTCAGGGGTCTCCAGTCTACGTCCACAGTGGGCCCAATGGGGGGCATGAGACCCCAGAGTTACATGCCTCTGGTGCACATGAACATTCTTCCACAGGACGACCGTCAGCAGATTCATCATCATTTCATCATTCTAAAAAATGTCCACGATCCAACTAGAGCTGTGTGGTGTTGGACACAGACGCTCCCTCCTCTCTTCCTGTCCACCCAGCTTACCTGTCCTGAGTTCTGCTTCCTCAGGTCCATGTCCTTTTCTGTGTCGGTGATGCAACAATCCACCGCACCCAAGTAGCAGGAACTCAAAACTGTTAAAATGCATGTCTCCAGAATTTCACCAAGATGTAGGCCCTCGCGATAAGCCCGTCAACCATTCCAGAGCCCCGAGGAGTGTCCTTTAGATGCCTTTCTATGGTTCAGACTGGGGCAGGTGCCACACTCAGTGTCCAGCAAATGCCACCACGCCAGGACCTCGGCTCCACAGAGGGAGACCTGCTGTTCTACCCACAGCAAGCCCCAGGCCCCGACTGGCTTCTCACGGACTGGAGAGGCCTGGTGGCCCGTAGCTGTAGGCCCCCGGAGAAGGACAACCTGCCCTTCTGGTTCTCTAGGGGGCAGCAAACCTCTCATAACTATTCACTGAATGCTGGTTGGCCATGTGTTTCTCATCGCACCACTGTTTGTAAAAGCTGCCGGAGAGCCAAGAAATTGTGGTAGCCTTTTTCCCCTTAGCTTTATTTTTTTAAAGGAAAAAACCGCATGCAAACACTCCAACCATTTTTTTTTTTTGTAAATCATATTTGGTATTTGGTCCTACAAAGCATTTGCTGTCAAAAGGAATTCAAGAAGTCTCAGGTAGCTTCTAAATGAGACTCACTTCCATTTCTTTCCTAAGACTGGCCCAGTTACTGCCCAACAGGGAAGCCCCAGGGTTAGTGTTGGCGATTACTGTTGAGGCACACTGGGCCTCGCCTCTCAGCCCCATAGAATGGCCAGAGCTCCGAGGATCCAGAACTAAGAGGCAGGAGACCAGACTATACCAGCTGTAGTATTTGTTTGTATGGCCTTGGGCAAGCCTGTCTCCCATTTCCTCATGAGGGGGTGAAACTACATAGTCTTGATGCCTTTCAGCAAGAGCTCTGTGATCCCATGAGGGTCTCAAAATGCTTTTCCAGAGCTGGTTATTATTTAAAATAATCCTAGTGCCTAGATGACTGTGCTAAGAAGTCAGGACGGGAAACTGATGATGTACCATGGCATAGCATGTAGTCCGCAACTAGCAAGTACGTGTTGGGTATAAACAGAGTTCAGAACATTGCCAGAATTGGGAAACACTTCAAATGCATGAGTTTAAGAAGCATTTATAGATCTCTCACTGCAGTGAAAAACAAGAATGCTTTTTCCTAACCCTCTAGGGAGGTAGAGAAGCAGCCTCAGTACCAACGACAGGAGGCATGGTGGCCAAGAGGATGAGCTTTGGGGTCAGAGTGACTTATGTTCTAATCCACACTGCTGGTTGTGCCACACTACAGTAACAGATTAGTCACAAAATCCCAGTAGCGTAACAGAATATGGTTTATTCCTCACTCCAGCAAAGTCCGAGGGGGAGGTATGGCCGCCTTCCGTATTGTATCCCTCTGGAATATGTGACCTCCAAGGTTCTTTCAGAAGAGAAAAAGTAAGAAGGTTCCTGCCAAATATTTTTAAGCGCCAGGGCCGTGAGTTGTTAGATCACTTCCCCTCTCATCCTATTAGCCAGAATCCAGTCATATGACCCCAATTTGCCAGAGAGGGAGAAGCTGGGAAATGCAGAGAAGCATGTGGATATCATATCTTTCATCCTCATGTCTCAAAACTAACGATAGTAATGTTGACCTCATGGGGCTGACATAGAAGGTCATACTTCTTAGCCCAGTACCTGACATTGGGTTAGAGCTCATTAAATGGCATCTTGAAGCATCAGAAAGAGAAGCTGGTCCCTTTTTTTTAGTCACTGTCTTCCAGATGCAATCATAAGGACCTTTGTCTCAAAACCACAAGAGCCCAAGAGATGTCTTTTAATGACTAAACCAGACCCCGTGTAGCTCTAAAAATCATTTGCTTAATTAGTAGAGACGAGAGAAGCCAGCACACAAAGATCAGAGGAATCAGAAGCATTAACCAGTTTCTCAAGTGAGATCTGGTGAGATGAAGAAGCAGGAATAAAGGGAAAGGGAGAGAGGAGCTCCCTCTACTTTTCAGCTCATTAGAAAAAGGAGAGTCAATACTCAGCCCCCAGGAGAGCCCCTAGAATCAGCAAAGGCGTCTTCATCAGGGCAGGAGAATTTTCTCTCTTTCTCCAGTGTGGCCTCAACATCAGGGACAGGGCCCGTTGGATGCTTAATGCATGTTGGTTTTACTGTGTGGTCCCTTTCTGTTCAGTGGCATGGTGGTCTCTGGTTAGTCAGTGAGATGTCAGTTGGGACCCTAAGCTAGTCAGAGCACATCCATCTACATTCATATATATATATATTTTTTTTTTTTCTCCACTAATATGTACAAAAAATTTTTCTTATGAGAAACTCAACTGTTTTACATTCTAGAATGAAGCTTAAGTGCTTGTCTCAGATGCATGCATTTGAAATAAGATTATCTTAAAAATAGAATGGAGAGAAATTGTCATCTGTTAGAGCAGGGATCGACAAATTTTTCTGTAAAGGGCTAGATACTAAGGGTTTTTGGGCTTGGGGGCCATAAAGTCTGTGTCACAATTTGCTGTTGTAGAGCGAAAACAGCCACAGACAACATAAAGTGAATGGACATGGCTGTGTTTAATAGAACTAAAAACAGGGAAATATTATTTTTTGTATTATTTTCACATGTCACAAAATCCTTTTGATATTTTTCAGTCACTTAAAAATGTTAAAAGCTATCTTTAGCTCGTGAAAGGTATATAAACAGATATCGGGCTGAATTTGGCTGTAGTTTACTAGCCACTGTGTTAGAAAAATTTATCATCTCTTTGATTGGCATTAGATGACATCACAACCTTACTTTAAAGACGTTTCTATGAATGAAACTATTTCTTAGCCTTTTACAGAAACAGAATGTACTCTGTAACCCACTTCTATGCGTATACAAAATATGGTAAAAATACGGAGCTAAAATGAATGTAGTTAACATCCCGTATAGTAGCCTTCTTAAGTCTAGTTACGGAAATCGGTGAGATTAATATTTGGATACACGTGTCTCACAAAGGCAACCTTCAGATGGGACATTAAGCTGTGGAGTAAAGTCTCAGTAAATCATAGTGCTTAGGAAACAGGACAGTGCTACGGTCTCCCTGAACACATGACCCTTTGTTATCTATCTTAGATTTGGTTTTACCTAACCATGTTGGGCCCACGCTGATTGTGAAGAAATGGTCGTATTATTTCAAGTCTGAACAAATGATGGCATAAAGCAAAGCAAAACAACCAACCCCAACAAATAGTCCACTGAAAATGCATTTTCTAGGCCCTTTTCTCTTTACCTTATCAAGCAAAAACAGAACAGTTGGTATTTAATAATAAGAATTTAAGGCAGTCCGTTCTAAGAGCATGCCAGATTCTGTGTGCGAAGGCCAGAATAGGGAAGGATGATCCTAAATTCAGTATCTTGGAGTACCAAGCATCTTGCAGGAAGCTGCATTGTCTCCCCAGTTAGAGCAGATGAATCTGATAATGCCCAGTGTGCTCAGAGAGATGGGTGCTGAACCTGTCCCGTGCGCCCTCTGCAGGTGAACAGAGAGAGTTCGTTCATGGTGCTCAGCCAAGCTGGAGGGAAGGTTTTGGGGGCTTTAAACAGTCAACAGTAGAGTCCATGAGAGGCCACAGGTCAATGGCCTGAAGAGCTGGGCTTCCGAAGTGAAACTGCCGGGGTTGGAGTCCCGGCTTTGCCACTTAGCCATGTGGCAAATTGCTCAACTTCTCTGGACCTCATTTTTCTTATGTGGAAAACGAGCCTGATCATAGCAAAAGTTTTGTGAAGAGTAAATGATGAATACATGTAAAAGGGCTAGAACAGTGCCTGGGACATAGCAGGCACTCAATACAATGTAGCTTTTGCTGAGATCAGAGAAGCGGTGTGATTGAATATGAGGAACACTGCTCCAGGGACAGGCCGGGTTCTCAGGGTCCCCCAATCATTTATTATCCTTGGGGCTATTTGTAATGGCCATTTAACCTCTTTGGGCTCTGATTGCCTTCGTTGTAAGATGAGGGTCATAATACCTTCTGTATCTGTCTGACGGCAGAGAGCTAGACCCAGAGACCTTCTGAGGACTCTTATAGCAATATCTCAAATGAAACAGCCACTTAACATGGCCTAAGAGTGGACAGTCTTAGCTAATGGACCAATTGAGGAGTGGAAGGAAGGAAGGAAGGAAGGAAGGAAGGAAGGAAGGGAGGAAGGAAGGAAGGAAGGGAGGGAGGGAGGGAGGAAGGGAGGGAGGAAGGAAGGAAGAGAAAAAGAGAAAGGGAGGGAGGAAGGAAGGGAGAAGGAGAGAAAGAAAGGGAAAAACAAAGAGCAACAAATAATTTTTAGAGACTTCTTGGTTCACATTATTTATAACACAAAAGAAATTTAGAAAGTATTTGGCTTTTTAACATAAAGCAATCAAACAGCGAGCAGTAGCCAGCCATTCACCCAGAGATCACAGATGTCCACATAATTGATAATAATAGTAAGTACACATCTGTCCCCCACCTCCTTCCGCCCCTGCCTGGCCATACACATAAAATGCTTGTGAAATAGTATTTCTAAAAACTTGGTCTGAATGGGTCACTTGGATGGTCGCGTGGATTCTCACACAAGCAAGCTTATCTCGTTCAGTTTCAGAGCCAATCGAAAACAGCCCTAACTCTGGTCTGCCTCTTCTATCCTTCTGGCTTCACATGAAAGACTGTGCAAAGGGGAGAGGCTGGATCGTTGCAAATCTGTCTCCACGCCTAGAAATAAAACAATTGAAAACACTTGTGCCTGATACTTGGAGACTGGTACTTTCTGCATCTTCTTCTTGCACACTAATAAGAGTGTGAAGGAGGCACGCCTGGGGGGGGGGGGGCTCAATCGGTTAAGCATCTGACTCTCGATTTGGATTCAAGTCATGATCTCATTGTTCATGGGTTCGAGCCCCTAGTCGGGCTCCACACTTAGTGCAGAGCCTGTGTGTGGGATTCTCTCCTCTCCCTCTCTCTATGCCGCACCACCACCTCTCTCTCTCAAAATAAATAAATAAACATAAAAAAAAGAAATGTGTGTGAAGAGTATTTCAGAAGAAGACTAACGGTACCCTTTCTTTTGAGAAATGGTTTCCAAGCCTGGAGTTAGCTCTGTGCGGTGAGGATTACCACCCCCAGCCCGGCAGTAGATAGTTATTTTAATATGGGCTGGGAGACGTCAGGGACCCCACCTGATGTGGAGACAAGCTCCTCTAGAAGTTTGATCAGAGCCCTTTGGTTGGTGTAACACTGTTTGCTAGTCTCTTTAAGAGGATGTGACCCAGGCCCTCCGAAGCGTTTTTCTGGCTTTCTGTGTCCTGCGTCCCCCACCCCCAGGCAACTCTCTTAACCTCACCAGCCTCCGTTTGCTCTGCCCACCCTCCCCATAGGATAGATGTAAGATCCCCAAGAGGTTTGTAGATCAGACTAGAAACAGGAACGTTGCTAGTCGTTTGGGGCATAGCCCCTCTCACAAAGGAGCTCCAAGTTCTCACTGATTCTAGAACACCATGCCTTCCCTTCCAGGTACCCCAGACTGGCTGCGAAACACCGGGAATCCAACACAGCAGGCATCGACATCTTCTCCAAGTTCTCTGCCTACATCAAAAACACAAAGCAGCAAAACAATGCTGGTGAGTGGCTCCCTTCCAGCCAGAGCCCCTGGCGGTAGTGACCGCTGCCCAGGGCATCTCAGGTACTTGGGGCAGAGAAGCGTCAGGAACCGAAACTACTCACTGTTCGCCCTGTGAAACAGGGCCTCTAGATCTTTCTTTTGTCTAATGTGAGAGAACGGCCAGGGGCCCTTTTTGCTGAACTTGAAGGGAGGGATGCACTTCATGTTCTGAGCCTGCCGTACTGCACATCATAATGGTCTGCACGGAAGGTTCCTGCCTTGGCCATACCACTGTCCGTCTATGCAGCATTCACAACCTGCCCGTGTTCTCAGGAGGCCCTGATTGGGACCGCATATTCCAACTTCCTTCTGGTTCCTGAGCTTTCTCAAGCAAGGGGGTGTGCAGAAGCCATGGTGGGGCGGCATGGTCACCACGGCGGTACATGTCGCAGACAGAGCCCTGCCCTCTGCGCTCCCCCCTGCTGCAAGGGCAGAGGGTATGAGGAAACACTGGTGTCGTCAAAACCTGGTGTGCCCTCCATCCAGCCTTGGCTGCAGCGCCCAGGCCTAGTTCTCTTATGAGGCCTTTTCAGAGGGGTCTGGGCGCCTCGTTGAAGCTCATAGCACTTTAAATACCTCATTTGGCCTTTCCTTGAAGGATTAGCCAAAGCAATCTGAATAGAACCGTCAACTCGAAGAACGTCACACTTGAAGAACGGTGATAGGCCTGGGGAGGAAGAAGAAGGACGGGAAAGTTTGCTTGCCTTCAAGGGGGAGAATGAGCAGCCTTAAGGGCGGGAGCCTGGAGCCCAGCACAGAGCCAAACAGAGCAAGGCCTTCGCAAATCTTCATGAATGAATGACTACCAGATGAACGCACAGTGGGCCAGAACAGGGTGGAAAATGCTAGGTGTTTTAGGAGGTCAGAGGAGAAAGGCACCTTTGGGGACAAGGTGACCAGGAAGGGCAGCCATGCATGCAGGGAGAGGGAAGAACATTTCGTCAGGAACAGAGTTGGTGCAACGGAAAGTAAATATTTTGGTAACAGTTACTGAGGACCTGGGTTGTAACAGGTACAGACTAGAATCTAAGAAAACTAGAAACAGATACCTCCCCAGCCTTGAAAGCCTGGCTGGTGCAGAAGAAAATGCTTAAATTCACAAAAAGTCAGAGAGAGAGCAAAGAGGTAGATGATGGCTTAGCGGGGAAGCCTAAAGAGCTGATTAGCCGCCCTGGGGATGGGGAAGCAATATCTGCCCAAAGTAGGCTCTGAGCAGGAAGAATTTACCTCAGGGCCTTTGAGAAAGCTGCTTTGAAGGGGTTTCACCTGGGTCATGAAGGTTAAGGGGCGTCAGTTGGCTGTGACTCTAGGGAGGAGGTAATGGGGAGCCGGGGAAATGCCAGTGACAGACTGGGGAGGGTGTCCAGAGCCTGCAGCGTCGGCCTGGGAGGTTGGGTTTTGCCATGTGGGCCATGGCAGCCATTAGAGGTGCGTGAAGAGGCGCTGTGAAAAGAGTGGCCTTCAGGGAGAAGAGGAAGAGGAAGGGATGTGGAGAGGTTTTAAACATGCGCAGTGCTCTTTGTTGCTGTTTGGACCTTGGTGGGTGGAGCAGGCTCCCCCACAAAGCCGTGTCCACCTGGGACTTGAGAGTGAGGCCCTATTTGGAAACAGGGTCTTCGCAGATGCCATTCGTTAAGGGTGTCGAGGTGAGATCATTCCGGATTGAGTGTGGTCCCTAAATCCCCCTGGTGTCCTTGTAAGAAGGGGAGAGGGCACACAGAGAGCAGGGGGGAGGTTCTTGTGAAGGTGGAGCAGAGATTGGAGTGCTGTGGCCACAGGCTAAGGACCCCTTGGGCCACCCCAGCCTGAAAGAGGCAAAGAAGGACTCTCCCCACCCCCAACCCCCCCACCCCCAGAGCCCTGTGAGGGAGTGTGGCCTTGCTGACACTTCGATGGTGGACTTCCGGGCTCTAAAAGTGGGAGAACTGATTTCTGGTGTGTTAAGCCACCCAGTTTGGGGCGCTCTGTTGAGGGGCTGGGGCACAAACGCAGCCCCTCACGGCTGTGTGTGTGAGGGCATGCGGGGGCTTTCCTGGCCAGGGACCCTGAGACAAAGGAGCGTTTGTGCGTGTCCCCCGGGGCCAGAACCGCCTCTCAGCTCTCAGCTCTGGTTTGCAGGATTCCAGGGCCCTTTCCTCTCAGCCACAAATACCTTCCTTCGTACTTGTCAGAAGGATTATCTCGCCTGAGCCTTCCAGATTTTTCAAGTTACAAGCAATATTTACATATTCTCCATATTTACCGTTCTTCGATCCCTAAGCCCCGAGCAGCAGTTTCCACTGAACATCACGTCTCAATTTCTCATAAACTCAGCACTCTCCAATTTTCATTGTTTCCACTTCTCGTCTTTCACCCTGTTTTCCTCTGGGGTGGGTTTTGCCCCCGTGACTCCTCTCTCCAACTCGTGTGCATTTCAGGGCTCTGACATCTCTGCTGTGTCCCAGGGGGCCCACCCTCATCATGGCCCTTCGTGCTGGCCTCCTCTCCTGCCTTTAGCTAGACACCACGCTTTTGTTCCTTCTCTGTCACCATAGCTCGGCCACCCCCCCTCCACCCTTTTCTTTGACATTTCCTTCCCTCCACCCTTACCCCTGAGTTATGGTCTACTGGGTTCAAAAGTTCCAGAAGCCAAGGCAGAGAGTAGCGCCATGGTCCACCCCATGCGGCCGCGTGGCCTGGGAGACGGTCCACGGCCCTCCCTGCTTTGTCCCAGGTCTGTGGCAAGCAGCCCCTCATGACAACTTCAGCAAGAGACCTCCGGCTTCCTCCGACATGCCTTCCTACACTACTTTCCCATTTTCCTCTCTGCATCTTTAGCTCTGCACCTATTTCTTCAATGTCCTTTCTTCAGATTGGCCCTTTTGTGTTTTCAACTTTTTTTTTCTCTTGAAAAAAGCCTTCCCTCCCTCGCATCTGGCCACCTAATGCCTCCCAGACGCCCTGTGTACAAGGGCCACTTGTGTTCCTTTCCTGCCCTCCCGACTTCAGAGTGTGAAACAAACCAATATTGTGACGTGGTCCTGCAGCGTGGTAATCTCTCCACCCCCAAGGTGGCTGCAAGGACTGCCATCCGAAATTTCCCTGTGTCACACAACCTTAAAAGTCCCCAGCTGCTGAACCCAGACCCAATCGAGCAGAGCCATCCACAGCTAGCACACACGAGACTTGTCCACTGGTTTGTACACGCAGTCATTCACTTATTCACTCAACAAACACAGATTGCAAGGAGCCGCTACCAGTTGAGCTAATGTTTAAAAGGCTTTTCTTGAACGCCAGGCACTGTGCTAGGTTCTAGAGATGTCAAGAACATGAAGTCGTTGCCCTCAGTGAGCTAACGGGGGTGGGTGGGGGGGGAGGGCTGTAAAACTATAAACAGGTGATGGCTGGCGACAAACACGAATATCGGCATCAGATCCTACTGCTTCAGCTGTTACTCCCGCCACCAGCAGCCAGCACTTCCAAACCTCCTGCTCATGTCATCTCATTTCTGCTTGTTTAACTGTTTCCCATTTTCTTGGTGCACTGTCCTCTCCGAAGGATCAATCAGAGAGGGTCAGTGGGCAGGCTCTGCCTGTTCCACCTTCGGGATTGTTACATTTGACCCCGAAGCCCTCGTTCTGTGTTCTGTTATGTTGTCTATCACTGCTCAGCCTCCTCCTTCCGTAAGTACCTGATCCTGGTCCCCCTTGGTCTGCTGAGACCCGAATGTACCTTCTGGCCCCCCACGCCCCCTTTCCAAACTTCCTCTTCACTGCTCTTAAAGATAGTGTGGACTTTCTCATCAGTCTCAACACCCCACGTTTAGTAAGATCTTGCTCTCTTATCCCTTGGGATCCCCCACTGCCACCCTGGTTTGTGCGGGAAACAAGGACCTTGTTTCTGGAAAGGCTGTGTTCCTCATAGCTCAGGTACAGGCAGTTGTGTGGTGGTTCCAACTTGCAGACTCTGGAATCCACTGCCTGGGTCCAGACCCCAGCTTCGCCTCTCTTCTTGCTGGCCTTGTGACCCTGGGCATGTCATGGCAACTCTGTGTGCCTCAGTTTCTTCATCTGTACAATGGGCGCAGTAACTGTACATACCTCATAGTGTATATAATTATATTATTGTAAGTATTATTATATATAATTAAGTCCATGAGTGAGAAGAGGGGAGCACTAAGTACAACATGAAGGATCACCCATACTTATGGGAGGGCAGCGAAAGAGGAGTCTGGGAGGAAGGTTAAGAAGGACTAGCCAGGGAATAAGGAAGAAAGCTGGGAAGGGTAAAAGACGGAAAAGATCCTGAAGATGAGGAAGGAAAGTTTATTTGTTTAAAGTTTATTTATGTTGAGAGAGAGAGAGAGAGAGAGAAACAGAGGAACGGAGAGACGGGGGGAGGGAGAATCCCAAGCAGGCAGTGCAGAACCAATGGCAGGCTCAAACCCATGTGAATTGTGAGATCATGATCTGAGCCAAAATCAAGAGCCTGAAAGCTTGATGGACTGAGCCACCCAGGCACCCCTGTTTGCTTGTTTTAAGAGTGATCCGTGGTATGAAATGTGGTGCAGAAGGTCACAGGAAGCTTCATGTTGGCCACAGCTCCCTGGAACAGTCCTTGGGCAGCTTCTCTGGCTGCATCCCTTGGCCTGCAGCAGCTGGTGACACAGATCTTACACCACCAGAGAGAGTTGGGCCGGCCGGAGAAGCAGGGCCCTTCTCCCTTTACAGGGAGGGGAGGTCAGCACAGGAGGAGACTATGGGGAGTGGGATCCAGAGCCCACCGGGAGGGAGTGCTCGTGGCCCTGAGAAAGGACATCTCAGAATGGAGAGAGCAGCACTGGGGTTAGATTGGGCAGCAGGAGCCCCTGCTCTGGGCCCCTGCATAACGCGTTTCCCATCGATCAGGGACAAGTAGCTGGCTCAGTACGCAAGGTTTACAGCAGAAGGACCAGGGGAAGGCGCCAGCTTTGGCCATCCC